CAGGCGCCCATTACCGCACACAGCCGACAGAGCACTGGCAAATGAATTCGACCGTTGAACGTGGAAGTTCGGCTTGTCTCAAATCTATTGAGCCAGACGGAAGCCTCTACTACTGGAGCTGAACCGAGACCGGCTGGAGACGAGAGATGAATCATAAATGGTCAATAACTAATTATTGTGCAATAAAACGCGGTGAAAAATACCCATGGAGTAGTTAGTAACTTTTTTACACGGCTGAATTCCTGAACTAGAAAGTCGAGAATAGGTCAGTTGACGTGAAATCCCACATAGACCACGAAATAAGCAGGACAGGGCGAAATCGAAGGTTATATTCTCGTCACAGTACACAAGAGCCGAACAAAATCAGTGGCAAAATGGGTTAAAGGTAAAGTGGATTCGTGTGTGGACAGGCGGGCGTCATCAATCGCTTGAAGCTTCCATGGACGAAGACAATAGGAAAAATGAAGGACAACGTTCTTTTACATAAAACAAAAATGTAAGACTCCACACACCCGTCGCGCAGACTTTGGGGTTTGTGCGTGTATATGCGCATGCATACAACTGTTCCCTGCCTGTGCGCTGCGAACAGAAGCCAGAGGCATAAGCGCATGGGACAGCGGTAGCTAAGTTGATTTATCAGAGTTCAGCACGTAGCGCACGTAAGGTACATCAACGTCTTCACCGTCTACATCCGTAGCACAGAGTTCAAAAACCAGGGCACGAACGTGCGGCGCGATGTGTTTTTTACTGACACTTTCAACAAGCTGCGGTAACCTGGAAAACACATAGAATTGACAGAAAACAGTTAACTTAGATGGAATAAAGCAAATACTATCGGCAGTAGTAATAATAATAGCGGGAGAATCACGTGGGTGGCTGTATAAGTCTAAACGTTAAATTAAAAAAGAAGACATTAGACGGACGGCCAAACTGCACTTTCATAAAGCTGAGATTCTAATCACTTCAGCGTCATCTGTAAAAGTGTCGTGGAAAAGCGAGAACGGCGGGGATAACGGGCCACGCGTCAATATCGTGAAGTCAGGCACGTGGCGAACCTGAAAGGAGGGGCGCACAGTAGTCAATACGCTAAAGAGCCTTTTAACGAAGACTCGGAGGTTCAGATCTACCGATAGGGGTCAACCGTCCTTGTTTCGAAGGAGCAAAACGTACACTGGTGTAAGTACATGATCCGCAACTACTGGGTGGGGCATCATTAAGTATCGAATGGAAATGGTTATACGACTGACGATCTGCAGTTCACTACTTTGTGGTCAAGTTAAGCGTGCTGTTTTTTTCTCGTCCCAAAACAGTGGGTCTAAGGTCCAGTAAGACGTCGTAGGGGCCGCAAAACCATTCTGTGAAAGCACTAGGTAAAACGAGGCTGTAAGATGGGCAAAGCCAAAAGAGTAAGAAACTGAGACGAATGGGTTGAAAACATAGAGTACGACTGCGGTCACAATAAGCTTACATCAAGACGGTTTAGGGTACTACCTCGCTAAGATTGGAACTCAGTGTTTTTTACAAAATCAAATGCGATAAAATTGAGAGACTTAAACTTACTTCATCTTCAGTCGATCAGCCCGCTTATTCTGTGGCATGAAGAATGAATACAGCATAGACACATCCTGAGATAGCATCGTTATGTCCAACTTGTGATGTTCCTAAAATCAGTTTTAGAAGTTGATAATGGTAGCACCTTAAAGTAATCCAAGAACTCTTGGAGGGTCATTGTGCCCTCCAAGTCAAAGCGATCCCAGATCGTGAACTCCTTATCGTAGTATTTCCACTTCTCGGGTTTCATAGGTTCCGAAGAAGCAAAGAAGGGGAGAGCTAGATTAACGAAACTATTCTTGAAAAGTTCCAAGTCCAAGTTTCCTTGTGCAAGCTAAAAAACACAAGACACGTATAAGTCACGAAAAGAAGCCGGACGGAGAATGGGTCAAACAAATGCGGTTGACTGACTTTGTAGAGTTCCAAGGAAACAAGGCCTGCGACTAGACTGGTTGTAGTAGCAATTGCAGGCATGATTTTGCCTGCAATTAATTTGCTTTTCAGGCGATCAGCTGGAGGGATGCAATAGTTTTCAGCACGAAGGTTGCTTGCCGCCGTGATAAAGTCCATGTGGAAGTTGGAGTCGTCATCCTTTTCGAAATCGACCAGGTTCACTTTGAGATCAGCTAGTTCTTCTATATCCGACATACAAAAGCAGTATAAACGTGCGAAAAGATCGAAATCGAACAAAGGTCAACTAACAAGAATTGGGAATAGTGAACGCACTTTTCCCTCGAAATGGCTCATTGAGAAGAAACAAAAAGCGAGAAAAAATACACACCTGGTTTGGGAAGAGAGTTGCGCAAGTCGTCGAAACTGCCTTTTTGGACATTACCAGCAGCATGGCTCTGCAGTTCTGCGTCGGTAACATCAATGTGAACCCCGCTGCGGGGAACAAATTCGGGGACATGTATAGCAGCGACTTTGCGAGCTATCTCATCGGCGTCACGACATTCAGGCAGAGAGTACATGAAAGCGCGAATGTTTGCCGCAGCGACAATGAAGGCAAGATGAGTAGGCTGAAGCAGGCAAAATAACCAGGCTGTTGTATTTGTGTGGTGAGAAAGAACATGCCCATAAGCGCTAGTAAAAATACGACCGAGACGGTGTGAAAATTTGACTCTCAGGGACACCTTCCATTGAAGATAGGAAAAAAAATTCGACCAAGAAGAGCAATTTAGTACGTCGAGTTCTCGAACTGGATACTGTGTACATCGTCAGAATGGCTCAAAGACACAGTTCGAGTTCCCGACTGGCAACTGTCACCGTGACCGTTGCAGCCAATCAGACGCGAAGTGTCTCGACTGGCTTGTTGTGTCACTCAAACTGTTAGCCCTTACTTTTGTATCTCTGACAGTGAACTTGAGAACTGGTCCGACAATAATTACAAATTGCTCCCCGGAGCTCATATAGCCCTTCTCACCCTCAAACATAAGGTCAACAAAAATCCCTTCATTGACATTATTCAATACACCACACAAGAGTGACGCTCATATCTATCCTGCCTGCGGTGTGAAGTATAGACGCCCAAGTTGACTTGCAGCTCCGGTCTAGTGTCCCTGAAGGCAGTCATATAGTGATGAGTAACCGGTAAACGGGAGACACCGGCGGCAAAGGCAAAGGTCGGCTGGAGTGGTTGCCAACTTGCTATTGTCGGTCAGTCACACTCCAACCCCAGGCCAGGGAAGTTCGAAGTTCTAACCTGGCTCCGGTTGGTCGTTGAGCCAGGTCCCCTGCCACCTCGGTCATCGGCCCAAGTCCTGTCGGTTGCGATCAGAAATGTCCAAAGCAACCCGGGAGTGGCGTTCGCTGATCTGTTGTAATTTTGAGACGGACTACGGACGTTTCGTTTTGCCTTGAAACTTCGCTAAAGCCCCGTAGAAGGTGGCTCAAGCAGTAGGGCAGCTACTTTGTAGATCAACTGGACCCGGTCTCAGAACCTTAGGCATGTCCGACCGAGGGTTAGGGTATAGTCGACCGGTAACGGCAAATAAGACAGAAGTTGTCGTCCAAATACAACTTGTAATTGACGGTAGCGCTTCTAGGGGGTCAAGACGGATTTTATCGACGCCAACTCAACAACAAAATGACCAGTTAAGACTTTCCGGCAACTGGACGTCGAAAGTCAAACATCAGACTCTGCATGCCCAGTAGTGTGGAAGTAGATGCGGTCGTGGAAAGTGAGGAAATTGCGTTGTAGTACTTACGACCAGTTTGGTGGGAGATAAACGTGACTGATTGTATTAAGCCCCTAATAGGGCGGATCACCGTGAATGCAAATCAATGTATGAGCTCTTGTGTTAAAACAACCGGTCAAAACATCAGTTAGATTGCTTGGGACTAACGTTGTGGACGTCAAATTTCAAGGGGTGCGGACAACGCTTGGTGCCGGACCAGAATGCAGTGCCCGTCGTCGTTTTGTGATCAGCGGGGAAGTTGAAGAGTAACTGACTGATGGAATTCGTGTAGAATTCCTAAAAGTGACAATTATAAGAAGATGCGATGGTAAAAATAAACCAATGGGAATCAAGGTGAATAGCATCATGGATACGGGAAAAGACAAAAAGCGTACGTCAGAAAAATTTAATCGGAGGCATAGAAATCTGTTCTGAGTGCCTGCTTCAGGTAGGAAATTAAATTTCCGAAGACAACCGCCCCAAAGTGCCGAGAATTCGTAGCTAAAAATAACTCTGAGGAACCAAGTATACTCCAGAGGATAACAGCCATATATAAGTAACAAGCCTGTTGAATACAACTTGATTATACTTGAAAAGTCAAGTTGGCAAACACGTGCTTTCGGTGACTGTTCGTCAGGCCAGTACAGTTACGTGGAGTGAAAATATACACAATTAACAGTGTTTATAGGTTTCTCAAGTGCTATTATAAGCCATCAACACTTATCTTCCCCACACCGCCCGCATGACGAGGTCGGCGGGTTTTGGTCTTCAGGGCTAGGGGAGGGGGGTAAGAGAGACTTTGAGTGACGTTCTAAAACTGAGTATACGGAGTACCCATCGTTGTAATTAGGGATTTGAGGCGGCATGTTGTCATCACTTGGGGTTGGCGTTGGCCACAGTAGAGAGTGCCTGTGTCAGCGTTTTCTGACAGCATAGCACTGGTTTCGCTAGCCGTATAGCCACTGCCTCGGCCGTTGCTAGCCTCCGTTGGCCTAGGTCTTTAGAGAAGCTTGTTTGTGTCCGGTAGGCAATCTGAAATGTTTCCTTGGCATCGACTCGGTGATTTGTATCGACTAAATGTGCGAGAATGGAACTCGAAATCGATCGGGTCTCACCTCTGTCTAACCAGACGGCCATACGTTCACGCACCCTCTTTACCAGGCGTCTCGTTGTACGGCCTATATACCCCGCTCCACAGGAGCAAGTAAATGAGTAAATGCACGTTGATGTGGCCTCCGACGGTAGTCTGTCTTTACCTCGCAAACGTAGGATGGGGGAGTTGGTGAAGCATACGCGTAAATTCGTCGCAGGGAATGCTCTGGTGTTAGCTGTAGTTAAGCGTCGTCTGACTAGTTCGCTTGTTGCGTTCCCAGCAAAAGGCAGTCTTGCGAATGCATCTTCCTCCCTTGCAGTCGCGACGGCGGGCTTTATAGTGGGTTCTCCAATATTTCGGAGGATAAATCTATCTGGGTGTCTGTTCTCACGAAGTGTGTTCCGCAGCTGTTGGAGCTCTGCTTCTATAACGTCAGGCGAGCAGATGCGCCTCACTCTAGCCGCCGATCCCTGCACCGAATTTCGTTTGATGTTTAGGGGAAGAAAACTGAAAATTAATGAACTGTCCTGTCCCTATAGACACTGTTAATACTGTGTAGATTTTCATTCCTCCATGTAACTGTATTAGCCTGACGATGTCACTGAAAATACGTTTGCCAACTTGACTTTGCAATTTGAGTAGTTAAATGTATATTAATACCATCCGAGTGGCTGAAAACGGTTTTCCTGCAGGGCCGTTCGCCATACATCACCAAGAGAGCATACAAAGACTTGACATACTTATTAAATTTACTAAGTCGATAGGCAGCCTAAGAGCAAAACCGTTGTACAATTGCTAGGCATCGAAATACGAAAGAAGACAAGGCAGGGGAGCAGAGAAATTGATGCGCATTCCATGTAATTCTGATAAATGCGCGTTTGGATTGCGAAGGTTTACGCAACCCAAGGCTACTTGAGCAAAGTCATAGATTACTGTTTGATGTGCCTCAAAACGTTTTGGAGGTTTGTTTTCGCAAATAACCTGAGATAAAATGAATGTTTTGATCTAAAAAAATTATATTTGGGACGGGAATCTAGGCAGGCAGGTGAGGGTTTAAAGTCAGAATGCATTTCTAGTGTCTATGACATACGCGAGTAGCTGGAACTGATTTTCCGACCTTAAGAATACTCCGTCCAAAAGAGCCTGATAAGGAAGTAGTGAATCAATCGCGACATATTCCCCGGATCTCACTGGCGTGGGGGATCAGGATAGCACCAATGTTGGGAAAAAAACAACTTATGCAAAATCAGAAGCACAATTTGCGCGTATGGCCAAAAACGCACAGAAGTATTATTTGGTTTTCTTGTAGTACAAGGAATGGCCCGGTTGCGATGAGAAAGGCAGGAGGAGTTAAAATTTGAATTTATAGGAAGGCATGGTCTTTAGAAGCATGTTAACGAAAAAAGGCATTTTACACTGCACATAAGCTTCAATTGCGCTTACAAATGATTAATGATTGGTGCGTATACGTGGAGTTTTGAGTGAACTGCAGGAAAAGTATCCTCTCTACTCAGTACTCAAATGGTTCCTTATTCGACACGCCGCTGATATTCGCCCGACTAAGTATTCAGTGAGCAATGGAAATAGTACAGAAGTACTTCGCGCTAATGACATAGTGCACTTTGTTGTTGAAACTTTAAACGAGTCTATATGAAGATGCGATCTAGAGCGCATCGAGACTTCAGATGGAACAGCACCTACCTGCCACAAGTTGCGGGCCCAGGCGATGCAGTCGTCAAAGTTCTTTGGGCGGGAAGTGACTAGATTGGCTTTTAGGGTCTCCAGGGTTTCTGCTGGCTGACTACCCGAACCTGAGGAGAGTTTAGCAAGGAAGTCCGCTGGATTCTGAAAAAAAAATTGTCCAGGATTCTGGTAAACAGGACAAGGCATGCACGAGATAATTTTGAAAGTTTACTACAGCGAGAAAATCCCCTATCTTGACGGCCTAGTTATGTTGGTTGACACGTTATCGTAACCTTTTATTTAAGCGCAGGAAGTTAATTTGTGACTTAACCGTGTGACTGCTACGGTGTTCTTAACCATTTGTGCGAACTTTAACAGCTCTGGTAGACTGTTGGTTTTCATTGGTGTGGAGAAAAAACAAAGTATACGTTCCCACTTAGCACATTCAATAGGTGCTCCTGCCCGTATCAGCATTTGAAGGCAGAAACGGTCAGGACGAAGCGGATGAGCGGAGTATATGACAATTTGGGCAAACTGAAGAGCGGAGACCTAGGTTTTACTCTTAAATTATCAGAAATACAGCAAACCTGTTGCAAAGGTGGTGAGATGTTGAGAATAAAGGCAGGTGTTGATCTGCAGACCCGAAAGCATTTAACTTAAGGCCACAAAAAACTAGAAGCCATGGTTTAAGGCGGCCGGTCACTTGGTGAGACCAAATATGACAGCAAGCTCTATGGCTCGTTTTGGTAGCAAAGCTGACGCACAGATGGGTTCTGCCGGGCAGGCAGGAGGGATAGGTCGAAGTCTTTACTGGTATGAATGACGTGCAAACCTCTGCAAACAGAAGTATACCCCTGGTATGTGTGCCGTGCGGAGGGTGAACAGGTTAGTGTCCTCCTTCACTGAATTGTAATGGGCTATAGCAGAACGGACAGTAAGGAGTTCGCATGCCCAAAAATCCTTATGTAATTCTCTGGCATTTCTTGATACAAGCGACCCCGTAACCGATACGTCGCGCAAGAACGGCTTGTCTGTGCAGGTTCGACCATCGGGATGGATGAGATTGGAATCTGGATGAGTCTGACTAACGCTGTCCCGCAAATAACCATGGGTCCGATAGAATGATAAAACTATGGGTGAGAGAGCTTTCTGCCACTTCGAAAGATGAAGAATCCCCAGATTATGAAGAGGCAGCGGAAAGATAGCCATAGGGCCGGCTACACCAATAACAATCGTGGGAGCCATAAGCTGAACTTACCCGCATGTAGGAATCCATGGCTT